CTTGGCTTCACAAACATACTAAAACACACACAAAGGTTAATTATGATCTATTTAAACAAAATCCATTCATAGCACTTGGACCATAAAAAACAACTATTGAATATTTTTCTTAACATAGTAACAACCTCTCTCTTTTTTTATGATGTCCAAACCTGTATACAACAACAAAACCTTTCTTCCCCTTTGGACATGATAAAACACAAGGATATAAATGGAGAGAAAATAATGTAGAAAATAGCCAAACATAACGCAATATATAACCAAACATGGTGTAGTATATATCTAATCAATCCAACCAAAAAATTACAAAAACATTCAAAACCCAAGGTTACCTTTGCTCCTCCTAACATGAAACCTCCTATAGTGATAAAGAGGCCATTGAAGAAGAGTGAGGTTTTTGTGGATGAGGAATAAGGAAGGAAGTAGAGAATGTGATAGTCGTAGAATGCATGTCGTTATATTATATGATACCGGAATAAAATGTAGAAAATGTCGATAGGAGAAAAAGGAATATCAAACTACAAACATCATTGTTCAATCAAGTATCAAGAAAAGAACATCATAGACTTAATGTGAAAACCAAATACAACAAATTGTATGATTAACTCAAAGTACAATCAATTATAGAGGAACAATCTTGATCCTAGAAGCTAGAGGGATGGTTACTCACCATAGGAATAAGCACCCAAGTAGTGAAAAAACTTATAATCACTTTCTCATCATAAATTTTTAAAGTTTATACTATAAAAAGTGTTTGTGACAGATGGTTTATCAAAGCATCATGTAACCAACTTAACATAAGATTATTTGATTGGAACTTGGCATAATTGATTATCATAGTGCAAAACTTAAGCACAACAATGCAGAGAAAGAAAAATTTTAATCAACTATCAGAATAATTTAATCAATTAACTTGTGCAGAAAGATGAAAAATGGACATGTTACTTAGACCAAGCTATGTCTAGTATGAAAAAGTTATGGTTATAGCACTATTGTTAGCACACCTAAGAGCTATATTTTCAAGGTAGAGGTCAAAGTTGTATAATTGATGTTTAATCCTAATCGATTGTGAACAACAACTACCAACAACAATATATTTTCAATCATAATCACAATCCAATAGAAGATAAACTTTTTACCTTGCCAATCCTCAAAATTTTCCTTTGTTATTATCACCATATGTAACATGATCACTGACTTTGTAAGTCGTCTTTCTATGTATTGTTGAATTTCTTCCCATCTTTTATTATGTGTCTTGAACATTAATTATCTTGATACTACATTGTTTTCCTTGCATCAAGATACAACTACAACATAGATTAAAGAGGAGATGCATGTACACAATTTAATTTGTATCTTTTCATGTTAGTGGCTTGAGATGTTCCTTTAGGCACTCATTTGTACTTTACCTCACCATAATTATGGAAATAATATGAATTTGATGCGTGACCAATTACACAACAATAGAAACATGTAATGGATGATGGTTTGCTCATGCTAAGGAAGTTCCTAGGTTTTAATCGATTAATTTGTCTAGTATAACCTATACCCTCCTTATTTAACATACTTATCAAGGAGGATGGCATGAATATTAGAGCTTGTTGAGTCACCAGCAAGTGCACCAGATCGTACAAGTAATATAAAATGGTAAGACCAAGTATCGTGTCTCAAGAGACTCTCGGCACTAGACAGTCGTGTGATAACTCGATTAATTAAGACTTAAAAGGAACGAAATCATTGGTTTAGAATGCAAATAAAGAAAATTAAATATGAATGCAGTTTTGATCAATTGAAGAACCGAGGCAGTAGGGTGGGAAATACAGCCTCGGTTCCCCTGAACCGAGGCATATAGTCCTACGAAAAAAAAATAAAAAAAACCAAAAACTCTACTGCTTCGGTTATGGTTGAACCGATGCCAAATCCTCTCCCTTTATGCCTCGGTTCACACCCGAGGCCAAAAGTATTACACTTTTTGCCTCGCCTGAATATGCCTCGGTTCGAGAACCGCTGCCTATAAGGAAAAACAACTGTTGTCATTTCTTCTGACTGTACTAGTGTCTGTTTATGGATGACCCTTCAACAAATGTTTGAGAGATATTAGTCATAATATGATCTTTTAATCAATTAATTTTCAAATAACCAACTTTGGTGCCCATTGTTAACACTAGTGCAAAAATGGACTTCCATGCAATATAACAACTAAAAAGGTAATGTCATCAAATGAAATGCCATGACACTTTTGCAATTTAGGAAAACTTTTCAACAACAGTTCCTCAACAACCATCGTTAAAAGTGGTGGAGTGGAGAGACAATGATGGTTATTTTATAAACTCGTCGTTAAAAGTGATTCATACGAAAAATGCTACAAATCCCTGTTGCGATCATCATTAAAAAGATGGCGAATATGTTCATATTTCCATTTTTGCTTCTTGCACCCACACACATGCAAATTGTTTCTCTCATTTTCACTCTCCTTAACATATTGGGCCATTGTCCACCTTACTCAATACCCATATTGTTGCCTCCACTAAGTGTAGTGTTGTTGCTTGTGTTGCCACCGTGGTCGCTGCTCATGTTATCGTTTACTAATGCCACCATGTTACGCAATCTACTCGTGATGCCACTCATTCACGCACCTCGTTGTCGCCACTGTTCATGACCCCCTACCACTATTGTTTGCTTCGTGCTTTTGCCGTACTTTTGTTTGCATTCTCTTCGTCGTCGCTCGCACACTGTTGTTGGTCACCAGTAGTTCGCTTCAATCTGCCAACACATTGTTCATGTCCTCGTGTTCTCTCTCCATTTTAGATAACTTTTTTTTTTTAATATGAGTAGGGTTTTTATTTGTTTTGTTGGTTTTGCTTCAAAGGTAACCTTACTTTAAAGGCAGTTTGAAGCATTTGAAGAAATGATGTTTTCTCTATTTTTAATATATATTTTTTCTATATTTAATGTCGTGTAACACTAAATCGTTGTTTTCTTAATCTTTTAACAATGTTCATTTAAACCATCATCGTTTGGTCCAAACTTTTAAGGATGACTATATCTACCACGGTTCAAAAACTATCGTTGGAGTGTCATTTTAATCGTCGCCGAAAGCCTGTTCTATAGTAGTGTAAAATATGTTTAACTAATATCCTCAACCAAGAAGAATGTGAATTGATTCTTTTTCAAAATTGGTTTCTTTTAATGTTTCAAAACAATTTTGAAAACATTCTTTAATGAATTAACAAGATTAATATGAGATGCATTACTAAGATCCAAAACAATCACAAAGAAAGACAAGAAAGATATTTATAATAAGAAAAAGAACAAGACACAATGATTTTTATACTGATTCGATTCTAATGAATCTCCATCCAATATTTCTAGCAACCTTAGCTAGAAATTCTATTAAAGATCTAAAATTTCATACTACAAGTGCAACTACATAATCCTAAAACCAAGATTTAAGCAAAACCTTGAAGAAACCCTTAAAAAAACAAAAAAGATTAGGTGATGCTTCTCGCAATCACCACAACCTTCTACAAAATGGTGAATTACAGAACAAAGATATAAGAAAGATATCACCTGTATGAAGATATTACAATCGAAACCTATATAGACATGAGACAACTCATTCAATATTTTAATCTTCTTGAATAAAAACATTTTTTGCAAAGATGAAATGCTCAAAACTATCACACACATGTTCTGCTGATTTTAGGATTTCAAGGTATTGAAATGAAATGAGAGAAGATGCAATTTTTAAAGAAAAACTAAGTAACCATCAAGATTAATCGATTATATTAGTAACTTAATCTATTAATATGCCTCATCCACATTTTTTTAAAACTTATTAGATTAATTGATCATGTAAATGACTTAATCAATTAAAATTGTTAGGTTTTATATTTATTTTTTGAATTTGATTAAGAGTGTGTCTAGATTTAGACTAATAAATTATTATCTGATTAAGATTGATGAAGAGAGTTTTGCTTAACATACATATATACTAAAATACACGCTAAAACTAATGTTGATGTATCTAAACAAACACCTACCATAATACTTGAACATTATAAAAAAACAACTAATTACATAATCACACAAAACATTGCGTAAATAAAATCATTTAATTAAGAAAAGAGAGTATTTTCTCTGGTTGAAGTTATGGAATTCAAAATCCAACTATACAAATAAAAAAAATACTTGAAAATTGAATTAAAGTTTTAAAATGATTAAAAAATCTTTTTATACTAGTAGAGTCAAGGGAAAAGACAGCGGTTATTGTCGCTTATAGACACTGGTTCTGCAACCGAGACATATACAGGCGAGGTAAAAAGTCTACCACTTTTTGCCTTGGTTCAGAACTGAGACAAAAAAGTGTATGTTTTTGCCTCGGTTAAAATGCAACCGAGGCAGTATAGGGTATTTTTTTTTTTTAGTTTTTTTTCGTGATTGGGTCTTATGCCTCGGTTTGGATTTGAACCGAGGCACTAGAAGGATTTTTTTTTGCTAAATTCAATTCTACGGCACCAACCATTTACTGCATGTAACAGAAAATTATTTTACAACTCATGATCAGAACAACTCATAAATAGAGTCTCCGAGAAAATTATTTTACAACTCATAAGGTAATCAGAATTCTAATTAATAAGATTCCCTAATTATTTCAAGTTAGACATTGAAATTAAGTCTAGTCAATATTGCTATATACTAGTTAAGCTTAATTTTACATTCCATTCCAAAAGATCTTAACAACAATAATGTTAAACAAATGGGAATGTAATCAATCATAGGCAATGGAGGATAAAGGTCCAAGCGCTTACCCTTCAGAAATGGTAGTCTTTCCAACACCAAGCTCACCAATCAGCACATGATTTTTATTTGTCCTCCTGGAGAGAATTTGGATGCATCTACGTATTTCATCATGTTATAGAATTGTCAGTACTCAACACACTAATGGAATTTATCGAAGTAACACTTGCAGAGTTTATATATTCGTATAAATTACTTACAAATTCCCATGATATTCCTTTCTGATAAGTAATCACCTAGTGTTTCTACACATCTCCAGCTTGAGGTACTACATAGATGTATTACAAGGACAAACAAAAAGTAAGAATCCTAAAAAGTAAAGTTCAATCAGTGAAAATCTTTTATGGAGCACGTAAATTAACCTGATACTTAAACTTCTAATTACTAGACCAGCAAGGAAGCACTTTCTTCATTCCTCATCATCTGGCAGTCAGAGAATCAAAAGAAAAATTTTAAACAACTTCCAAGAACCAAGATTCAAGAGACTTCAATTTAAATACTCACCAAAATTTATACCGGTGTTACCAATATGCAGTCTAGAGAGTCAATGATGTATTAAAACCACTTCACCCACTTAGGTTCTTGAAGCACCAAACAACTTTGCTTTCCAGATTGATCCATCTTCTAACACAAGCCTAACATCTGAAGTTTTCCAATGAAGACAATTTAAATAGAAGGCTTTGGCTTCTATTCCAGAATGAACAGAACCTTCTGCATTCACAGGGGTTGAGGGCTCGGGAGCGGGCTGGACCAGGTGTTGGGCCAGAGGCTCCACCACTAGCACTGGCCGTAACGGCCACAACTTGGGGATGGGGTGTATTAGAACCCTAGGATCTGTTATCACTCCCAACGACCACCGCTTCCTCTTCACTCCAGAGGCAACGCACTCGCAGGCGAGGTGGAAGCTGCGCTCGCAACCGTCGCACACGACGAGGTTCTGGTGGCTCCCGGCGGCGGCGGGGCAGGGCTTAGAGCAGGCAGCGCAAGGATCGAGGCCATCGCTTGAAGGGCAGCGGGGGCTCCTAGCGGCGGCCTAGGGTTTCGGCGTTCGGTGAGGACGACGTCGGTACGGAGTCCGGTACGGTTTCGACGAACAACGAGGAAGACCGGCGACGAGGCAGCGCGAGGCAATGCGAGGCTTCTTCTTGAGCGAGAACACCGGCGGCGTGGTGGCGACTGAACGGCAGAGAGGTGGCGACGGAGACGGCGTTGTTTGGAGGGGGTTGGAGAACAACAGTGAGATGGAAGAGTGTGCGCGAGAAGAAGAGGAAGAAATCTGAAGGGTTACTTCGGAATATTAGAAGCTATAGTGTCTCGGTTATGAAGGTTAATCGATGCCTAATCAATTAGAAAATAATTAAAAAATAATTAAAAATGAAAAATATAATGGCAATTTTGTTACGTGGCAATATTTACACCTCGATTCTGATTGTAACCGAGGCAATATTTAATTTTCATAACATTTGTCAGCATATATTTAAAATAGCAGAGTGAGTTGACAGTACATTATGCCTCAGTTGCTGATTTAACCGAGATCGTAGACCTTTTGTGTTTCAGTTACTTTTGAACCGAAGCATATAACTTTCCTAAAATTACGAGAATGCCACCGCGCTTTTATATGCTTCGGTTTCAATAAAACCGAGGCATATACAGTGCATTAAAAAACCCTTTTTTTACTAGTATTTCATTTTCACTTTTGATTTTAAATTTAAATTTAAATTAAAAATCAAACTAAATAAAAAATATTTTATAATATTATATATTTATGGTTAATTAGCAAACATATATGATCAAGTCACTTAAAATGTTTTTTTATGATAATATATTTATATTTCTTAAAATACAATAACAAATTTATTTTTAAATTTTAATCGTAAGATTGTATTTAAGGTATTTATAAGTATAATATGAAGTTGAAATTATAAATACTATATATTAATTGTAAAACAAATTTATATTTCACTTTTTAACATTTTTTATTATAAAATTTTTAATAAACTTTTTATTAAAAACTATTCTATATTTTGTTTTCTAAAAAGGTTCAAGCAATTTGTAATAACAAAAATTGAAAAAATCTACACACAATTAACTAATTCAATTCTTTAGTAAAAATGAATTCAACTATACAAATGAATTATGAACATTTTTATAAAAGAATAAATAAAATTATCACCATCTTCAGTTATTTTTTCCAATACAATAATAATATCTCTCTTCTCTTTTTCTTCATCTGACCAAACATACAGTATATAGTTGGGTTGGATTGATCCATTTGCGTGCCGCAGCTGACACCGTCGTATTGTGAAAAAAACAGTTATTGCAACCTACTTTAGCTTGGGAACAGTAAGGTGTGACACGTGTAGCATAACTGCACCTCTTCACATTAAATAGCCATGCAAGCAGTCAGACACACAGTACAAATAATTGAATCTATCGTTCAAACATCATGCCACGTATCCAACGACAGTATCGTGAAATGAATCACCGAAGCACATGGTCATTGAAATGAGCTCACCAACCAAAATCATCTCATTTCAATTCTCATAATGCACCATCTTCATCTTCTCCCCCACTCAAATTCTATATAAACACCACACCAAATCACTTCTCTTCACCACCCACAACACAAAGCAACACTTTTTCACTTCTCTCCCATTCTAGAGAAACACTGTTTCTGTTTCCGCGACCATGGCCAGCGTGAAGGTTGCATGTATGGTTGTAATGTGCATGGCTGTGATGAGTGCACCTATGATGATGGTGCAGGCCGTTACATGTGACCAAGTGACAGCGAGCCTGGCACCGTGCCTAGGTTACTTGATGAACGGTGGAGCGGCTGCACCAGGGTGCTGTAGCGGAGTAAAGAACATTCTGGGTGCTGCCGGAAGCTCCGCTGACAAACAAACCGTGTGCAAGTGTCTCAAAGATGCTGCTGGTAAGTATAACATCAATGAACAGTATGCTCAGGCACTCCCTGGCGTCTGCAAGGTCAATATCCCTTACAAGATCAGCCGCTCCACCAACTGTGCAGAGTAAGTTTAATTCACTCACAGTTTCTCAAATTTTGACTGTTCTACTCTCTTTTTCTCAAATGATTTTGTTCTTGGATAAGTAAGCTGTTTTGTTAAGCCTGAACATATATTTAACCATGTGTTTGTTTCTGTAATATTGCTGCAGCATCAGGTTCTGAAAAAGCAAGTAGCTTTCCTAATTTCTGCGAAGGCAGCATTGTAGCAGATACTATCAGAATAATAAAGAGAAAGCGAGTGTCACTGTAGGGCTCCACTTATGCGAGCCTGTTAGTTTCTCTGCTTCTGTTATTATATAGTCTTTGTTGTTGGGTGCGATTTAATGTATCTTACTTGATTGTTGCATGTAACAATTACGTGTATGATATGGTAATTTCATCCTACTATTAATATTGTTGCGTACCGTGTTAATTTTCAAACAAACAAAAATATAGCTCGACACCTAAAAAAACTTAACTTTCAAATTTCACTTTAATAATATTATAACGTGTATTGATGTTATGGTACTTATGCGTATAAAAATAAGCTATTCTCAAGGCTAACAAGAATACAAAGTAATGATCAGTTTTGTAACAGGACCAACTATCAAAGAAAACTTCAAAAAAAAAAAAAAAGCTACAGATGGTTTAGACACATCATTCTGTTTCAAAGTTAAATTCGTGAGAAAGATTAGGACAAACAGTCTTCAGTCAGCGTGGACTTTTATTGGCTTGTACCGTGGCTAAAGGTCAAAGGGTT